TTGTCGATTTTTTTAGACGTTTTCTACATATCTCAAAGTAAAAGTTTATATTTGCTAACACCCATGTGATTTTCCGTCTCATTTTTTCTTCGCTTTTACTCTTTTATTAAAACACACTTTCGTTGCCATCTTTTTATGATGTCATGTCATGTGGTTTTGGCAGTTACTAATGAAACACAGCTTTGAAAACACGTGTAGAGAAAATTAAAAAATTACTGACTGGTAGAACAGAAAAGGTTAATTCGTAACTGTCACATTCCAATTCTAGGATATATATAAATATTAATGTGAACACCAAATCGACTTTTATATTTTGGGGCTCCTTGTGTCCTGAACCTTGATTCACTGCACCCCTCGAATCCCCTTTATTTGCGTTCCTGCAAATGAAATATATATGGCAGTAATCAAGTCATGGATTATTCTGAAGTATTATTTTAAATATTGATGTAATTTATTTGCTTTATAATTCACTAGTTATTATGTTTATTAAATCGACTTCAGCTCGGTCTTGTTTAGGAATGCTTGTCATTGTATTTGTACGGTCCTTATATTTTGATTCGTATAAATTCTATAAATCAACCTTAAAACTGCACATTTACCCAAAACATTTATTGTATGTTACGGTTAAACACAAAGCCACACAATTGACTATCTATGCTTTGCCCACCGCGGATATAGAAACCCAATTTTTAATCATTAAAAACCATCAGACTTACCATATGGCCAGCTGTGAGCAACAAATAATTAACTTTCTTATTTTGCGTAAAAATAGTTATTAATGCTATCTGAAATGTACATTTATTTGTAATGCTTTAACGATATTTGTTCAAATGTGTATTTCAAAAAGTGTTATAAATAACACATCTTTTACCATGGTTATTCTTATAGAAATTCTTTATGATGATTGTACATTATATTTATAATGTTTAGTGACGCTATTGGTTACATTTAATAGAAATATTGCTGCTAAATATACTCTTATGATGTTTTTTTATTTTAATATATTTTTATTTATAAACCTAGTGTGTTCTGGACTCAACAATATTATCAAATGCTTCCATAATTCATAAACGGAGCTCTTTTTGTTTTGTTATTTCCATTTGTCGCTAGATGACGCCACAATAAAACGTCTAAATGATATCTGGATTAATGTGAAGATAGATATAGGAAAATAATAACATATGGCTCAGCACTCACTAGGCTATGCAGGTAATATTGCTGAAATTTTAGTTTTAAACTAAGTTCATTTTCTAAATAGATTAACACCGGTATTTTTTTATTTAGGATTTTTTATATACTTTAGCGTAGTAGCTGTTCTAGAGTTAGGAGCGAGAAACCATAATATATTTTGTATATCTCTTAATGGCTTATTAATAGCACTATTGTGATACGTGTGTTAATTTGAACAAAATATATCAAATATAATACATTTCCTGAACAGTGTCTATATAGGTTACACAATTCGTAAACTGAATGTCGTGCAAATGAATGCAAATTTGCGGTAAAAACAAATATTTTTCTTTATCGTGTTTAGCTGTTATCTATAAACACTGTATCCTATAAGATGAGATTGAATTAATTTGTTCTCTGAGTTTGGTTTGGTTTGTTCTTAATTTCGCGCAAAGCTCCACGAGGGCT